TATAATTTATTAATACTGTTTCATGCATAAATTTGATTTTTACGAAATTTATTTGCTTAAGTCATCAATATTATTTATCAAATGTATAGCTACCTACTTGTACTTATGTGTGGCATGTCCAGAATTATAGTAATTCCAATCTGGTTAGCCAATCTAGTTCTTTTTTGCTAAATTAAAATTAAAGAAAACCGGTTAGAATCACTGCACTAGAATTACTCCTTGGAGTTACTACTTTAGAAAGGCACAATATTCTAATATAATCTAATTTTATGCATTGTAATAATCATTGCTTATTACTAAAATTAAAAAGGTAAGTCAAATAGGAAAATTTCCAATTTCATTCTCTAGGTCTGTATTTGTATTTGAAGACATAATGTTCATTAAAATCTAAGAATAATAAATGATTAAAAGATAATTATATTTAAAAAAACTGGTGAGTTTTACAAATCCATATTATACTGTTCAGTTTTAAACGAGTTCACAGAGTATACATATATTCTTTCATAAATTGTCAGCACAAAGTGAGTTAACAAAGGACTATTCTATTATCCATATTTACAGATACACAGTTTATTTTTTTTTAAAAAAAAGGTAATTCTAACAATTAAATGGAACATACTATAACATGTAATTATGCTGTTCTCATCTGTAACTTTTACTTTGTGTTTATGAATAAGAATCTTGAAACTCTTGTTACAAATTGATTTTTTCAAAATAACATGCTTCTTTCTTTAATTATTAAGTATAGCTTAGAGGTTTAAGTGATGCCCGAAATTTTTGCGATTTTGTATAACTAGAGCTTCCGGAATTGACAACAAAAAACTTTATATATGAAGAGTAGAATGCTTATAGTTTCATAATCAACATTAATTCCATCAGGATCAGCAATTTATGTATAAAGCCCAAAAAAAGAATAGGTTTTACTATTCTCTTTCATTTTTATACTATAAAAGGGTGTCCACTTTTGGTATTATACAAACTGTATTTAAAGTAACTGCTTCAGGCAGGAGCAACATTTAACAAAATTTCTAATATAATTATTTAAATAAAGCTATAAAAAATTTTATGCATTGTAAATTATGCATCTCTATTCAATAGATATTTATATGTAAATTCGAATAGAAATTTTAAAATTATATTTGAAGATGTAATATGCATTAAATTTAAGAATGAGAAAATTATTAAAAGATAATAAATTTTAAAGGATTAATTATGAAGAGTTTCACAAAATTATATTATATTGATTTGTCAGTTTAGTAAGAATAATTAGGATTAACAAAAGAATCAGTTTATTAACTATTACAGTTTTATGAGTTGGAATTTCGGTAAAATTACTTTAGAAAAAATTTACCTTATATCAGTCTAGTTGTATTATTTATCCCTTTTTACAGATAACGCTTTATCAAAAAAAATAGAAGATAGAGGTTAACCATTTAATAGAATATGTGATTTTACTATTCGATCTGTAGCCTTTACCTTGTGTTTATGAAGGAAGTTTTTCTCATAAAGAATTATTCAAAAAATTAAAATTGTAAATGTAATTCAAAATAGATACAATAAAGAACAATATATTGTGAATTGACTATTAGAGAAATATAAATAGAGGCACTTTTCTGCCTATCAAGAATTCAAATTAGATTGATATTCAAATCAAATTAAAAAAAATTGAAAAAATCAAAACTAATTAATTAAAAATAACAATAATAATAATATATTAAAATGCTTAAAAAACTCATTGCCCTTTATACAATCATGACTTTTATTATCATAATAATCAATCTAGTGACTTCAAATCCTTTAAAAAAGCATGGTGCTGAAGAGCTGACTTGCTTAAGTATTACTGCTTACACTGAATTTTCAGATAATTACAATGGTCAATTAACATTTATCCAGAGTGAAGATAACTATACTTACTTGACTGGACTTTTCTGAAGTGGATTTAATAATGTTGACTGTGAATACAGTTTCATTATTAATGATGGTCGTGGAAATACTTATGATATTATTCAAGGCATGAATGTCTAGTACATTGATGGTGGCACTATTTCATTTAAGATCAGGTTTGAAGATATTGATCTTAAAAGCATTTTATATACTAGCAATTCAAATTTAAAACGTGTCATTTTTCAAAACCTTTCTGCTATGCTTAACCTTGGTGGTTGGTCAAAAAAGTCAAGTAAACGCTCTTCAAATTGTCCTTCATTGGAAGTACAATTTATTATGTTTCCTTAAAGCTTCATTATTTAAATAGATGATATTATTATACAATATATTTTTTTATCTATTTATTATTATTTTTTTTTTATGTAGGTGATTATTCAGAGTTTTATAATTAAAGATTTATTTTAGTTGCTTATTTGTTACATATTATCTCAGCCCTTTTTCAAATATTAGACTTTTATTAACTACTATAGCTTTATCACACTAGAAGTAATTTTTAACCAAGCCCATAATTGAATAAATAGAAAACAGAAATATTTAATTAAAATGTATTATATAAAATATTTTTGATAATGTAACTTTTTAATGAATAAACTTTTTTTTTGACTATATTAGTCAGTATTCCATTGAACTTCATTTTGAAATCAGCTATAATGTCTATAATTATATTAATACAATAATAAAACAAAGTTGTGAAATATTATATTTACTACATAAATTTGAATGTTGGACAAACTATTTTATTGTCTTGCATCATATGGACTTTCATATGAATAATCCCTTTTTTGTTCACCTATTTCTAGCTGTGAAAACCCGAATTAAATAATAAGTTATTAATGTTATTCTCTATTATTGTAGTATGTAATTAAGTTATATCTATATCTTTGCGTTCTCTTATTCTATCTCTTGCGTGTATTAAGCATTTTT